AGCTGTATGTAATAACAGTATTATTATATGCAGCTCATGCAGTGGCTTCGCATCATAAATATTATTACTTCCTAATCGCGACACTAGCGCCGACCATCGGAAAAGAACAAAATTAATGTAAATAATTTCACTCGGCGTTACGGGGAAATTCGACATTGAGAAGATTGAGCCTGCTCTTATATAATCAAAGAGGAGGAGCGGAGAGCTCTTGTTTTTAACATAGGAAGCTACTAGTGGACTTGCCCTCTCTTTTTTAAATATATGATTCATCAAACCGTGATCTCTTTTAGCAGAATAGTGTAGGTCATGCCACACAAGTGCGTTTGACCTCATAATCTATCTCACGTTCTAACGAGGTTTCGAGGATGTTCCTTGCTTAAAGTAATAAGTAAGCGACTAGTTGGATGAACATTTCTCAAGATGTATACTATCACCTGCCCATTTGAGCGGCGTTACCGTTGCCGCAAATAAATTTTGTCTGGCTGGCACTCGACCAGCGAGCGCGAGCCACCATTCTTTTGCTACTTAGCAAGTAGGTGCCGCACAAGGAGATCTGTGGCGGAACAGTGATAAATAATCTAAGGGCAGAGTTTTACCAATGACATCTCTTCGGCCCGGATGACCCCTGCCAATGTGAGACGTGTAATTTGGCCGAAATAACATTGCGTTGTGGCTGGCACCCGACCGACCGACGCCTATATTGCAATAGCATTAGGAAATTGGGGCTCTGGCCGAGCGTCGGATCGCCCGTTGAGTGGCTACGAGGAGAGTTTCTGTCGCGTCGTTTTTATGACGGTCAAACTCGAGCGGGCGAGCTGCCAGACGGTTTGATGCCATGGTATAAACCATCCTATAAGATGTCCACTTTTTCTCGCGCATCACCGCCCTGGGTTCCGCGTTATTGCCTATTAACTGGTAGCTATATACTATAAATGACTACCAGGATGTTACGATATAGAGCATCTTCTAATTATCTACTCCTGATTACTACATATTATACTATATACTATATGTTTTTAACAAAGTAAGTCTTTGTTCGAAAAGGATTGTGGCGGCGAATGCGAGGACAAAGTTACAAATGTCTATGGCGAATCTTTACCAGTGCACATCTCTTCTGGACATATATACCCCTGTTTCATATTTAGCGCCTAAGTTTGGCCGAAAATAAATTTTAATCTTGGCACGCAAACCCTACAGGCGACACAAAGCACAGTGCACTTGCGACCGCTTTTCAATAATTTAAAATGATGCGTAATAAATACAACTTGTCAGTAGCCTACTACACGAGTACCAGCAATGTCTTAATGTTTGATTGACCTAATAACTTCACTTCACACCCGTTCAATACACGCTGCCAAGACACATAGCCGCACGCCATTGGTGCATGCACAAATACACAGTAGATTAGGACTCCTATCCACAGGCACTTGACAGCATATTCAACTGTAGCTTAAGCGCACGGGCACCGCCATGCGCGTTACCACTAACACATTATATATTGAGTTACTATTGATATATATTGATATTGATACGATATATATGAGTTACAAATATATATTGAGTATACTCTTATATATGTGTTAGTGTCAACGCGCTAATGGCGCTGCGTGCGCTTAACAGTTGATACTGCATTCAAGTGCCTGGGCTCCTATTACTGTGTAGTTGTGCTATGGATCAATGGCGTGCGGGTATGTGTGTTGCCGAGCGGTGTATTGAACCGGTGGTTGAGCGTGAGTTATTTAGGTCAATCAAACATTAAGACTTAATTGCTGGTACTGTAGTAGTGTAGGCTTACTACAAAGTTGGTATTTATTAACCATCATTTTCTTATTCATTGGAAACGTCCAGAGATGCCTGTAGGACACAAGCGCATTTTATGTACATCAACATTGAACATAGGAAAATGATTGTGGCGGGATGCTGGGATGTGGCGGACATTTTATGCATAATTTTCAAAAAGATAGATATGTACTATATATTTGTTTTGGCATCATATGGAGTGCTTTTAAATGGTGACTATAGCGCCAACCATTATTAATCTGTACTGTAGTTATTTATTTATTTATTTATTTATTTAATTTATCTATTTATAGTCACTAAATGGTGACTATAGCGCCAACCAACCATTTATCGCTAACGATAAAAATAGGTAACGAAAATATTTATAATCTAAGCGCTAGATGGCGCTGATTCATGCTAAACAGCGCGAAAAGTGAGCACGTTTGGAGACAGCGTCGAGATCCTTGTTGTTTGTTGTGATTTGCTTGTGTACTTCCATAACTTTTCACGTATAGTTACTTCAGAGCTAAGATGCTTGCTGATCGCGCGCAGGATGTGAGCAATAGTCTGTTATCGCATCCGTCGGAGTCCGGGTGTCGGAAGTTTGATCGGGCCTCGGTCGCATACGAAAATCTCAGTTCTCGGTTCAAGTTGAAGGAACGTAACTTTAATCGTCAGTATGCGCACCTGTACGCCGAACGACTAGAGTCAAGACATTCAGCTATCTCGGGGGCTGCGCGTAAAAAGTTAGGTAAGCTGGTTCTCGTTGTATTCGGTTTCTGTGTAGTCTAGGTACAACAAAACGCACATGAAATTGAATTGATCAATTGAATCGATGAATCATGTAGGTGTGTCTGTAGCATAGTGTAGCACAGAATCATGCACTCTAAAAATATATTAATATTAATTATTATGAGCTGAGCTTTGAAAATGACTCGTAGTACATGCATAAATTACAAATACATACATAATACATGTGTACTATGCGTCTTTACTACGTACGTCTTATACATAACGTTTCACACGTACGACTTACAGAATTTCACTATCGCTAGCGTTGATTATTTAAGCCCGGCGCACATTGCCGAACATTTTGCTCAAAAACGTTATCGTAGCAATGTTCCATGAAATGTTCGGCAATGTGCAGTGAAAAAAGTCGCTGAACATTTGTTCCGATCAATGTTTCTGAAGATCGGAAATGTTTGATATATCGAACATTGTTCGTTGAATGTTCGTCAATGTGCGCTGAATGTCGAGCAATTCTAGGAACATTTGTAAAGTAGTAACCAATAGCAGCACGATATGTGGTCACATGATTTTTGTGCCCAATCATGCGCCGATCACATGACTCTTTACAACACAGCTACTAGACGGCGCCACGAGGTTGTTCGCTGCAAAATGTTCGGCAATGTGCGCTCAGCAATTGTTCACCTGCACATTGCCAGACAAAAACATTTGTTCGGACGAACATTTGTACGGGAAAATGTTCGGCAATGTGCGCCAGGCTTTACATATCTGCGATATATAGGATCTGATGTACCACAGAAGAAGTTGTCCGAAATCGAAATTGGTCAGAAGTGCATTGTCGTAGGCACCTCTTTCAAGCACATGGAGTTGAAGCCGAACATACTAAAGGAAGTATCTGAAGAGGTAACTCCTGCTCAGTCGGTTTCCCTATGGGTGTCATATGTAATTTTACACTAAGACTACTCAGACAAATTTTTACCCTCGTAATAAATGTATTTTCATACTTACTATCACTAATGTAGGAAAAATTTACAAAAACGTACAAAAAGCATTGCGCATATCGGCAATATAAAAAAAACAATGAAAAAACACAATTTTAAACAGTGTTTTCATTCTTTTGTTTGTTTTTTTTTACACAAAAAACCTGCTTTTACTTCGACCCTGTTTGCTGTCACACGTGATTCAATCTCGGCATTTTCGTCTACGCTTGCAGCACAACTTGCTGCCTCACCCGCCGCGCGACCGCTACACGGACGAAGCTGACCAGCTGATCCTGGAGGATGAGCTGCAGAGAACCGTCCTCGTCGGAAACGTAGATGTCCAGAAGATGGTGACGGGTGAGCGAGCGTGCGCAGCATCCGGGGGAGGAGGGGGTTCTCCGGGACTTTCCAGAAAGCCGCACGCATAACGTCAGGGTTTCTCCCCCCTTCTCCCTTTCCCTCCCCGCTGCGGGAATTTCCAGAAAGCAGGTCGGACAATCGGGGGAAATTCATCTGCGATTGTCAATTGGAGTCGGTCACGCGTGTCGTCGTCGGCGACCCCATTACGCGGGTACACTTGGAAAAGTTTGGAGACCTGTCCAGAAGATGGTGATGGGTGAGCGAGGGCGCAGCATCAGCCCCCCCTCTCCCCCACAGGAATTTCCAATAGGCACGTCGGATAATCGGGCAATTCGCTTTGCTGTCTTTCTCCTATCGTCCGAAACTATGGGTGAAAGTTTCTGTTAGCTTTGCTGCGAACGCGAGAGCAGTAGCGGCGATTTCCATTTTTTCACCCGTAGGTATTATCATGGCGGTCAGAGGTCAAGAGGAGGAGGATGGGAACTTCCACGTTGACGACTACTGCTTTGCTGAAGCCACTGAGCAGCCTTCTCTCTCACCTTCTCAGGAAGACAAGTTAGTAAGACGAGATTCGTACGAACTTTTTTCTCGTAGACCGGACCCCCGTACACTGCGCGTTCCGAAACTCGGAACTTCACGCAGTTTTCCGTCCGTAACGAGGTACAAAGTTAACGTTGAGACTAATGCAGAGATAATTCGTTTCCCGATGATGAGCTCCATGTTTACTGCTCGCGGCGTATGAATGACCGAGATTCGCAAACCGATTCCTGCGTCGCCCACACATTTTTACATATACACATATATAGAAATACAGTACACAATCTATTATCCGAAATCCTTGGGACCCGACACATTTCGGAATTGTAGTATAGTACAGATATACATACCATATATCCTGCGACTAGCCAGTACTAAAACTCAGGTTTTTAAGAGGCCAAGTGCTGTACCGGTACAGTAAAATATGTATGAGTAATGCCAGACACATTAATATTTCTGCAGTGAACCTTGTGCAGCCAAACACGAGCTTTGGTGTGCAGACGACCGCCACGGAAAAACTTTCAGTTTTTTCGGAGCTTTTTGGTTTTCAGAATTTCAGATAATAGATTGTGTACCGTACATTTTACACGTCAAATCATTCAAAAAATATACGTTAACGGTGGCGCCGTTCTCCGCAGGTACCTGGCGATCGTGAGCGGGGTCGAGCTCGGGGACAACGCAGCGACGGCGCTGCGCCTGCAGCTGCTGCTCGACTACCTCGGCGGCTCGCTGGGAGGAGAGGCGGACCAGGAGGGCGCGGCGAGCGTCGCGAGGGTCGTCGTAGCGGGCAACTCGCTCGCCCGCTCGACGCAGTGCCGGGACGCGAGCAGCAAGGTGAGGCCACAATTAACAAAATATTGGTTTGCCCTCACCCGACCCAGGCTGAAAAGTTTGCATAGGTAGGTAGGGTTTTTATTTTTGAAGGGGTCTTTTTACAAATTCAGCATGGTGTCTACATGCTCGGGTGTGCTTGTGTGGAGATACCTTTTATGTTGAATGCTTGTTTTGCTTGGTACATATAATGTATTGCCTACAGATTTATATAATGTACAGTGATACAATTTGTTAAAAAGAAAAGAAAAAAAAGATCAATAAAATTTTTTGAGTCAGCCCCTTTTTCGCGGGTCGGTCGGTTGAGGGCAAACAAACAATATTTTTATTATGGCTTGAGCGAGGGCGGGGCGTCAGCTGGCGGCGTTGGCGGCGGCAGGCGGGCGATGTCGGCGATTCTTCCGACGTGCTGTATGGTGCTGTGGAGAGTGTGCAGAGAGGGATGGCGATCGTGTGATTGATTGGGGGGGCCAGCCGTTGTGTGGCTGCAGTGTGGGGGTAGTCCAGCAGACCACGTATCGGACGATATTGTGAACATTTGTATGATGTAAGTGTGTGTGCGTGCGTGTGCGTGTGGGTATATATATTTATTTATGTTTATGCTAAAGTACATGTGCTTGGTAACTAACGCACCCCTGACGCCTGATTGCACGCCATCGGGTAAATAAATGTTAACTGCCCTGTTAGCGAGTTTTTGTTCATATAATAAATTATAATGTATTCAAAATTTCAAAGCCAATTTTTGTATCATTACTGTGGGAAATATGTTCTTATAACTTTGGTCTTTATGTTAAGTTCAAATCATTATTGTATTAACAAACTTATTATTTGTCTGTAATATCATAGCCGATGTCAAGGAAAGAGCAAGCAGGCAGTGTCGATGCCATCAAAGAGTTGGATGACACGTTACTAGAGCTGGTGGTGAGTTGTACTACTGTGAAGCATATTTTCATGTAATCGCTGTGTGGCATCCAGGTAAAATATCTGGAAATTAACATTCTAGCTCATAAACATCCATATTTATTAGTTCCAGTATTTATTATAGTTCTAGCTTATCAACAAATCCATTAGGGTAACTTTCTAGCTTAAAGCCAGGATTTCGAATTCATTGCTCAAAATAAGTAATCAACATTCGAATCGTGCATGCTTTAGTGGTACGAAGGTTCTAAGAGATGTTAGCGCTTCGGCTCTAAACAGTTGCTGTTACTCAAGCAATAACGGTGCATATACTAAAAGTGGGGAAAACGTGAGACTGATTGGAAACTATTATCGAAATCCTGGCATTAAAATCGAACACGTTAGCACATGACTTCTACCAGATGGCCCCCAGATTGCCCTATAAGCACGAGCTTACAAACAAACGTCGTGCGTACGCTGTTACAGAGTTCCGTGGAGGTGGATCTGATGCCGGGCTGCTACGATCCCACGAACAGCATGCTCCCGCAGCAGCCGCTGCACCGATGCATGTTCCCGCAGGCCGCCAAGTACGAGACGTTCCACAACGTGACGAATCCCTACGAGGCGTGCGTCGACGGCGTCAGGTAGGGGGCGCTCGCGCAGCTTCTCTCACCGTTGCCGGCAGCTAGAGGTCGTGAGTTCGTTCCGGATATTATAATATCATTTTTACGTTGTTCGTCATTGTTTCTCGCTGCGCAGGATCCTGGGAACGTCTGGCCAGAACGTCGACGACGTCTACAAATACTCGGACGACGACGACGCGATCACAATCATGGTGTTACGGGGAAATTCGACATTGAGAAGATTGAGCTGCCTCTTATTATATCAAAGAGAGGAGAGGGAGATCTTGTTTTTTAACATAAAGCTACTAGTGGACTTGCCCTCTCTTCTTTTAAATATATGATTTCATCAAACCGTGATCTCTTTTAGCAGATAGTAGGCATGCACACAAGTGCGTTAGACCTCATAATCTATCTCACGTTCTAACGAGGTTTGAGGATTTCTTGCTTAAAGGTAATAAGGTAAGTAGTTGGATCAACATTTCTCAAATGTATATATACCCCTGCCCATTTTGAGCGCGTAAGTTTGGCCGAAATAAATTTTGTTGGCTGGCAACCCGACCAGCGAGGCGAGCCCCATTCTTATGTACATTAGCATAGGTGCACAAGGAATTGTGGCGGGACAATGATAAATATCTAGGGCAGATTTTACCATGCACATCTCTTCGGCCATACCCCTGCCAATTTTGAGCGTGTAAGTTTGGCCGAAATAAATTTTTGTGGCTGGCAACCCGACCGACGACGCCTATATTAATACATAGGGAATTGGGCTTGCGACGTCGGTCGCCGTTGACTGCTAAGAGAATTTTCTTCGGTCGTTTTTATACGGTCAAACTGGAGCCGGGCGAGATGCCAGCACGTGTGCATGGTAAAATCCGATCTATAAGATTCACTTTTCTCGCAGCATCACGCCCTGGGTTCCGCGTTATGCCTATACTGGTAGTATATACTATAATACTACCAGGAGTAGATAATAGAAGATCTTCTATTATCTACTCCTGATACTACATATATATATATACTATATGTTTCAACCAATAAGTTTTGTTGAAAAGGATTGTGGCGGGATGCTGCGGACAAAGTACAAATGTCTATGGCGTATTTTACCATGCACATCTCTCCTGGACATATATACCCCTGTTCATTTTGAGCGCCTAAGTTTGGCCGAAATAAATTATCTTGGCACGCAACCCTACCAGCGACAGAAGCGGCATTCTTATGTACATCAACATTGAACATAGGAAAATGATTGTGGCGGGATGCTGAGGGCAAAGGACAAATGTTTATGGCGGATTTTACCATGCACATCTCTCCTGGACATATATACCCCTGTTCATTTTGAGCGCCTAAGTTTGGCCGAAATAAATTATCTTGGCACGCAACCCTACCAGCGACAGAAGCGGCATC